GCAAAAGCAAGACTCTGTCTCTACTAAAATAGAAAAACTGACACAAGAGGATGGGATAGCTTAAGCCCAAGAGTTTGAGGTTCCTGTGAGCTATGATGCCAAGGTACTCTACCCAGGGCAACAGCTTGAGACTCTGTCTCAAAAAAAAAAGAACAGTACAATATGTAGGTCTGTGGGTTTTTTTGTTTTTGTTTTTTGCAGTTTTTGGCCAGGGCTGGGTTCGAACCCACCACCTCTGGCATATGGGGCTGGTACCCTACCCTTTTGAGCCACAGGCACCACCCTGTAGGTCTGTGTTTTTTGTTTGTTTTTGTTTCTGTTTTGAGACAGAGTCTCACTCTGTCACCTTTAGTAAGAGTGCTGTGGAATCATAGCTTACAGTAACCTCAAACTCTTGGGCTCAAGTGATCCTCTTGCCTCAGCCTCCTAAGTAGCTGAGACTACAGCACCATCACACTTGGCCAGTTTTTCCCTTTTTTTAGTAGAGACAGTGTCTTGTTCTTGCTCAGGCTGGTCTCAACTCCTGAGCTCAGGCAATCCACCTGCCTCAGAGTGCTAGGATTATAGGCATGAGCCACCCTACCTGGTCACAATGTATGATCTTATGTGTGTGGGCTCTTTTCACTAAGCATCATGTTTTTCAGGCTCATACACGTAGCATAGATCAAGACTTTATTCATTTTTATGTCTGAATAATATTCCATTGTGTAAATATGCCACATTGTGTTTATTCACCTGTGGATGGACATTTGTTTTTTTTTTTCATCTTTTGGCTACTGTGAATAGTGCTGTTATGAACACATTTATACATGTGATATCAAAATGGTTGGCCGGCTCGGCGCCTATAGCTCAACCGGCTAAGGCACCAGCCACGTACACCTAAGGTGGCGGGTTCAAATCCCCAGCCCGGACCCGCCAAACAATAATGACGGCTGCAACCAAAAAATAGCCGGGCGTTGTGGCAGGCGCCTGGGGTCCCAGCTACTTGGGAGGCAGAGGCAGGAGACTCGCTTGAGCCCAGGAGTTGGAGGTTGCTGTGAGCTGTAATGCCATGGCACTCTGCCCAGGGGGACAGCTTGAGGCTCTGTCTCAAAAAAAAAAAAAAAAAATGGTTGGCCCAGGCCAGGCATGGCGGTTCTTGCCTATAATCTCAGCACTCTGGGAGGCCAAGGCACTCTACCTAGGGCAACAGAGTGAGACTCTTCTCTCAAAAAGAAAAAAAAAAAAGTTGGCTAGGCTTGATGACTCATGCCTATAATTCTAGCACTTTGGGATGCCAAAGCATGAGGACCACTTGACCCCAGAAGTTCAAGGTTGCAGTGAGCTATGTTCATACCACTATACTCCAGCCTGGGCAACAGAATGAGATCCTACCTGAAAAAATATATATAGTAAATATAGAAAATAAGAGGCACATGGATATTTATTGTGATGTAAACACCATAGTTATAACTTCTACACAAGATTCACCAATAAATGCTAACATTAATAGGTGAAACTTTAAAGAGAAATAGGATATTTGCACAGTCTCAAAGTGTCTCACCCAAAGTATTTATCAATGAGTGTGGATGTTTTACCACATGTTCACAAATTCTTTCATACTCCTTTTCTCCTCAGAAGGTGGAACTTAATTCCTCAGCCCTGAGTAGAGATGGGAATGTTCTATTTCTGGACCTGGGTAGTGGTTACAGAAGTGTTCTCGGTTTGGGAAAATTCTTCCCGGTGTCCACTGGATGAATTTTCTCTCTGTGTGTTTCATGCTCAGGTAAAAATCAATGCAATTTACTAAAATGCAAAACAGAATGAAATATACTCAACTGTCTGTGTCAGAGATGTACATCTTGGTGTTAAAACTATTAATGGAGAAAAGAGATAGAGAAAAGAAAAAAACTATTAATGGAAAGCAAAGAAATGATAATGGCATAAGTTGGCCAGGTTCAGTCCCAGGACTTTGAGAGGCTGATGCAGGGGGATTGCTTGAGCTCAGGAGTTTAAGACCAGTTGGGCAACATAGTGAGACACCATCTCTACTAAAAATAGAAAAATCAGCCAAGCATGGTGGCTTTGCACCTGCAGTTCCAGCTACTTGGGATGCTGAGGCAAGAGGATCACTTGAGCCCAGAAGTCTGAGGCTGCAGTGAGCTATGATGATGCCTTTGCACTCCAGCCAGGGTGTCAGAACGAGACTCTGTCTCAAAAAAAATTTTTTAAAAGTCACATGATAGGGCAGTGCCTGTGGCTCAAGGAGTAGGGCCCTGGCCCCATATGCCCGAGGTGGCGGTTCAAACCCAGGCCTGGTCAAAAATTGCAACAACAACAAAAGTCACATGATAGCTACCTTAGAAGGAAATGAGAGATTGTGCCCAGGGAGGAAATGGGGTGGGGGACCATCTGTGATGTTAATACCATTCTGTTTCCAAACCTGAGTAATGATTACATGCGTCCTGTTTACAATTCTTTAAATTGCACATGTGCTTTTTTCACATTTCGGTGGTGTACTGAAACCAGTTCACACTCTTCTATGACACTAATTGTTAACTTTTCAGGAATTTGGGGACATGGCTTTGACATCTTGAAATTGGCCAGAAATCAACAACCACTACAAATCAGGGCTAGAGAGACCACTGCTAAACATTTCCCAGCACATCATCGCTCCTCCATCTATACGATTTTAATGAGATACTTGCTTTATTTATTCATTTATTTATTTGAGACAAAGTTTCACCCTGGGTAGAATGCCATGGTGTCATAGTTCACAGCAACTTCAAACTCTTTGGCTTAAGTCATCCTTTTGCCTCAGCCTCCTGGGTAGCGGGGACTACAGGTGCCTGCCACAATGCCCGGCTACATTTTTAACTTGCTCTTGTTTAAGCTGGTGTGGAACTCCTGAGCTCAAGCAATCCACTCGCCTCGGCTCCCAGAGTTCTAGAATTACATTCATGAGCCACGATCCCCAGCTATCTTACAAATTTCTCTGTGCCTCAGTTTCTTCATCTGTAATTTAGGGATAATCTTAGTCCTGACCTCATAGCCCAGTGGTTCTCAAAAGTCTGGTTTCTGGACCAGAGGCAGTGGAAACTTTTGTTTTTGTTTTGAGACAGAGTCTTATTTTTTTTCCCCTGGTACAGTGCCATGGTGTCACAGCTCACAGCAACCTCAAACTCTAGGGCTTAGGCGATTTTCTTGCCTCAGCCTCCCAAGTAGCTGGAAGTACAGGCACCCACCACAACACTCAGCTATTTTTAGAGATGAGGTCTCACCCTGGCTCAAGCTGGTTTTGAGCTTAGACGATCCACCCACTTCGGCCTCCCAGAGGAGGATTACAGGCATGAGCCACCGTGCCTGGACTTTGAAACTTTTGGAAATGTAGATTCTCATAGCCCATTCCATACCAGTTGATTCTACTGCAGTTGAAACTCAGTGATGTCTTTTTTTTTTCTTTAAGGCAAGCATGAAACAAACTTTATTTAAGAGAAAGGTAGGTTTACAAAGTAAGAGCAAGATATAGGTTACAGAGCAAGATACATTTGCCTTAGACAGTGACCAGGGCTTCATTGCCAGGGAAAGAGGGCAAGTGGGCAAGTGGGCAAATAGGCAAGAGTAGACAAAGAGGCAAAGAAGCCAGTGATTTTGCTCTGTCACCAGGCTGCAGTGCAGTGGCACCATCATAGCTCACTATAGCCTCAAACTCCTGGATTCAAGTGATCTTCCTGCCTCAGCCTCCTAAGTAGCTGGAACTATAGTTGTTGCCACACCAGTTAATTTTTACATTTTTCTTTCTTTTTTTTT